AAGTGGTCTGGTCGTTTGAAGGCACCGTGAATGTACTCGGGTACGTCAGTTTAGTTCGGATACCGCTGCCACCTGTATAAGCGCGCACTGTTTCAGGTCAGCAAGCACATTACAAATTAATGCTCAGGACAACAGCTGCCGAACAAGGTACTGAAAAGGAATTCATCGGAATAATTCTAGGAATTAAAAATGTATAACATTTCGGCTGGAGGCTGATCAACTCACGTTTGGGGCCTCCAGAATCCGAGCCAAAGTACGGCAGAACGAAATCATGTTTTAGCTTCGGGACGTCAAAGAACGCATTGGACGAGGAAAGACGCCTAGAATTAGTAAACTTTTGAATCAATAAACGAATGATACCCGAAAGGAAACCATTGTTCCGGAAATGCCGCTTTAGACACCCAATTTCAGCATGAAATAATTGACGAGTAGAGCTGAGATGATATTCTCTAAATATGCCGTCCAAATGGAACTAACTTTGAATAAATCGGGAATAAAACTGCAAAATCGTGCCTATTCTAGTGAACATAGGTTTATGTACACCGAAGTGCATAAAGAGCCACCTTTGTCGTGTCTGAGGACGTCCAGAAAGGGAATTTTGCCGTTTGACTCCTTTTTATCGTCAATCTAATGTTTAAATACTTTCTGTTTGCAAAATCAAGGAATTAAAAGCGTGAAACCTATCCTTAAAAAGAAGAAAACAATCAACATACCCACAAAAAAGATATTCTGGTCTGACAGGATCCAAGCTGAACCCTTTCATATAACACATTTCTAGACATCTTTCCTTGTCCATGCCCTTGTCGTTTCAAAACTCAACAACCATTTTGTTCAGCCGTACTTTGGCTCAGTTTCTGAAAGCCTCAAACGTGAGTTAAACAGCCTCCTATCAAAATGATATCCATTTTTTTAGATCCCACGATTATTCAGCTGAGGTTCTTCTCAGTAGGCTCTTTCTTCAAACATCAGGATATATTTTTTAAATGCTGCTAATCGGCCGTTGTATACGAGCCTTGTTGTACCTCGTGGGGCATCGCATAGGTTCCTCCCCTCTCCCCTTCGAAGCTTGCGTAGGTACATTCAAAGGCTTATGGGCAAATATATCCGGACGGGAAAATTGCTTGCAAAACCCGGC